CCGGCACGAAAACTGGAAAAAAGCATCTGACTTTGGAGAAACGCGACGCGGCAGGTCCTCCATGTTCCTCGTTCCCATCCGCGCTTTGCTCTCTATTTTGCTCCCTTCTGTCTCTATTTCTCTCTCATCTCTTTCATTCCTTCTCCCTCTTCCTCTCTCACCTCTCATTAGGAGAAACTTTCATCGGAAGTTCTCTCTGCAGGCACAGTCTGCAACACCGGAGGCAGCAGCGCGAGGCGGAAGCGAGTGCAGTGTAGTATTTATTTCAGCCCCTAATGAGTTTGCAGGGTGCTCTTCGTGCACGCACACGCTGATCGCCGCCACGCCACGCCGCGACGCACCGCATTCGGCTCGATGGTGCGCGGTGCGGCGCGGCGCGGTGTAACGGGACGTTCGTGTCGGACGGTCGGCTGGCTTCGCCAAGTAGAAAACGGAGCTAAGTTTTCGCCTCCCACGTGGAAGGAATCGGTATATACGCGCCAACTGGCTTTTTGGCATTTTCGCCGTGCGCAGTTTCTCTTTTTTTTCCGCGAGTCGTTTACACCGCGCGAGTTAAAGGGGTAAGCGGCTCTCCCCCTTGCTGCACAACCCACCCCTTTTACCGGGAGTTCTATACACCTCTCGCGCCGTTGCCGTCGCCGCCATTCCCTCCCGTTCCTCTCTCGTGAATTTTTCCGCGCTCTTTTTGCGCGGTACTTAAACGCAGAAAGAAACGAGGCCGTTAAAATGTTCCGCCATGCACAATTTATCATGGACTGCGAATGGTAAACGCACGCCCGGGCTCGTCTCAAAGTCCAGAGAAAAGAGACGCGGCTTAATAATGTTCCACGTTGCAGAGAGCGTTACCGGAGAGCAGCCCAAGCTTGGGCGTGCACCAAGAAAGGACCGCCGCCACTTTTCTCGCGCGGCGTTCGTTAGAGACGCGCGGACGAGAATGCCGCAGCGATGAACTCCTTTTCTCCATTCTTTTATAGACACTACCGGCATCTCGTAGAGCCGCGGAAAGGGGAGAATGCGGGCGGAAGTTTCGAAAGCGTCTGGATACGTGCCTTTAAACTCGGAAGGTTTGCGGATAACTCGTAAAACAGATGCGCCGGCATTTCGAAGCGCATAAAGAAAACAATAACAGGTGAAATACGCGAGCTTCATACGTAAATATGAATACGTTACGTTTTTCCTACGAACGATACGTGTCGATAGGTCTTTCCGGCATTCACGTAATATCTGAAATTGAAAATATTGGAAGGTATATATGGGAAAAGATAAAGAGCGAAAATAAAACTCATAAAGATGTTAATTTCGATATCGACAAACATCGCGTGTGTTACATTAAACGCGTTATGCGTGGTGAATAACATCACACAGATAACTATTCAGTCGTTTCTAATTGTCGCGAAATACGATGGCATGTGTCAAACATCGACTGTTGCTTCTCACTTATTCACGTCCAATCGACTTTGAAGGTCCGAAGGTCGCGTCGACGTTTAATCAGCTTACGCTTAAATCCCTTTAAGGACTTAAGTCCTGCTTTCGTCGCATGGAGTTATCACGCAAGCTCAACTACTTGACCAAGGCTAGTAAACGTAGTAAAGCGGCAGTAAAGTTCTCGCGGATTAATTGATGCCCTGTGTAGACGGTCGCGTCGCTTTTCGTACGAAGTTGAAGCACTCCAACACTTCACCAGGTGCCGTGGGTGAGTAGTCGATAAAGTCTCCTCAATTGATAATGTTTAGATAACTACGAGGGTCGTCTGAAAAGTTTTGAGCCTAACAATTTGAGCCTAACATAGAAACAACTAATTTTTCGGTCAAATTCAATTTTATTTTTCCACATAGTCTCCTTTTAAGTCGATACATTTTTTCCAGCGATGCTCCCACCCCTTTAATCCATTCAAATAATACTGAGCGTCTTGCTTTGCAAAATAGGCGTCTACGGATGCGATGACCTCCTCGTTCGATGAAAATTTCTGTCCTCCGAGCCAAACTTTGAGCCTAGGAAACAGAAAAAAGTCGCTGGGGGCCAGATCTGGTGAATACGGTGGATGGTCAATTAATTCGAACCGCAATTCGTGAATTTTTATCGTGGCGACTGCTGATATTCGATTTTTTCCATTTTTACAAAAACATTGACATTGACTGGCACAAATGACTGTCAAACAACAACTAAGCGCCGGAAGTAGTTACAATTTTCGCAGGTATCTTTCAAAGTATGTACGATTATAGTACCAAAATTGTTTTGACGAGTAATGTCACCTTCATGTTGAGACTCACAACTTTTCAGACGACCTATGTATGTGCAAATAAAAATATATAACTATACTGTCTGTTTATACAAATATAATAATATATAATATGATCTTGAAATAATCGTACACTGATGAATACTGAATGGACAAAGCTTTTGATTGTTAAGGAAAATATATCCGGATATACGCTCTTATATGTAAAAAATTGTAATAATGTAATATTTATCCATTAATAACATAACGTTGTTTACAAAAACAGCTTCATTTTTAAATTATTTATGGTTAATATGCAGTTTGGTTATCCATATTCAAGTCGGTTACTTTTGATCATGTTGCGCGCGTACGTGAGTATTTGTTTTAATTAATAAATAATTGAAACAAAACAAGGTATACTGCGATTAACGCATATGAAACTACGACTGTTTCCCCTGTTATCGATGCGATCAACAAATCGTACGTATTGTATGTAATCTTCCATACTTTGGAAAATAACTATATCTGAATGTGTGTGCGCGATCAAACGTACAAATAATTTAGAAATGGAAATATTCTCGAAAGCGAGTTATACGTATTTTATAAATATATATTCAGTCAATCGCCAATTACTAAACAATTTACATGTATAGACTAACGAGAACAGGGAATTACAGATTCTTATCTTTTATTTTCATTACATTATTACATCGGGTTTATCTCCAAAATTTGTTTTTACCTTTATTTAATCTAAAATGCTTCCAGCAGCGCAAAGTGACAATGAAGCAAATCTTTTTTAGTGAGTTCCCGCATTTAGCGGCACAAACCTACGTGATTTTCCGCGGCGTTCGTCGAGCTTGTCGAGCTTTACGAGGAAAGCTGAGGCGAGTTTGACCCGATCCCTTCGTTGCCGTGTTTACTTTGGAGTGTTCGTTATCGCTCGCTAATTGAGCCCTTGACGCGGCAACATTTACGCGATGTGCACGTCTGTGCAGCCACGTAGAGCACAGCTCGTGCGTTGCACAGGTTGCTCTTTCTGCTCTCTCCTCTCAGCTTGCTCTCCTCTTTCCCTC